CGACAGTTTGTTTCCTGTCAATTCCGTATAAATGCTCTATGCACACACACTACCGCCGCCATTGCTCAATGTGCACAGTGACTGTTAATATATATAGTATATTATATAGTATAGTATATAGTATAGTATAGTATATAGTATAGTATATTATAGCTATATATATTAATGTAAGCGTGCAACAGTCGCGCCGCGAGAGCAGTGGCATCCGGCAGCGTACGTTGGACGTGGGATTTGGACGGAATTTACAGGAAACTGTTGGCGAATAGGTGAAAGAGAGTAGGGCTAGTATAGGCTATAGAAACATTCGTATTTAGTTAGCATTATATTTTATTGAAACGCTTCAAGTGCCTGTGGGCCCGCACGCAACGCACGCACTACCCGCACGCACGAACGACATACACACACATAGTCAACACGACAACACACACGGTGGGACAGGTCCACGCGCACAAGTCGCACACGCACACGCACACACACACACTACACCATACCAGCACACAACATCAGCTGAACATTCAGCGACAGCCCGCCGCACACTGTATGTGAATTTACTGAATGGAAAAATCATCATGTATCCGCTACACGGAAGAATCACGTCCGCAGAACCAAGGCAGCACTACTATACTAGCAGCGGACAAAAAAGAGGAAGAGACTCGCGAGATATTCACTGCCCTCCGCACCAGCCGCGAAAAACGCTATACCAGCGTAGGTTCGCTATAACCTGCAACTCTAGCTGCCCCCCCCCCAGATAAAGATGAGGGAAATATCATCATTAGACAATAACCTTACCGCGGTAAAAAAACGAAACGTCGAAATACGAGATGCGGGATTACTCGAGAAAGGGAAAAGAAGAAACCTCCGCGCGTACGTTTTAACAGTCGCGTACACACGCACAGCCACACGCACTGCACGCACGCACGCACACGCAGACACCGCACACACGCACAACGACGAAACACGCACAGCACACGCACACCCGCGTTATCTCACGAGACCTTTCACTGGTGAACACACACACGACACGCCACCCACGGACGCACGCACACGCACACACAGACCCGCGTTATCCACGAGACTTCACTGGGTGACACACACACGCACGCGGGATAATTAAATTACACAAAACACCGATTAAAAAGATGGCGATTAGAAATGCTAATCATGCCCGCGCAGCAGCAGCAGTCAGCACACATGAACCGAATGCTTCTGCACGCGTGCTAACTCTAGAACTATAGCCCTTCGCTCTGCCGCAGGCCTGTGGCAGAACGAAGCGCTATAGTTATAGAGCTGCGCGCGTGCGTGTTGAGCATCACTGATATCCTCGCTGGACCGCTCTTTGTGCTGCGAACAACACGCTACCCGCTTTTGAATTAACTTTGAGAATAACGATTAGTATATTACGGGGGACATCGACATGCAATAACAACTACACTTGCCGGCGACCCGCGCGCATCTTACATAGATCCCAGATCCTATGCCTCCTAGACTAAGAGCTTACGCTCAGATACTACCGCCTATAGATCCCAGATCCTGCGCCTCCTAGATCTTACGTTCAGATCTTACCGCCTATAGATCCCAGATCCTGCGCCTCCTAGATCTTACGTTCAGATCTTACCGCCTATAGATCCCAGATCCTGCGCCTCCTAGATCGTACGCCTCCTACGCCTGCTAGATCTTACGCTCAGATCCTACCGCCTAGATCCCAGATCCTACATACGCCTCTTAGATCTGGCATCGTGCTCCGCGTGCGGCAACCTCCAGTTTTTCAGAGAGATGTTATTAGGACGAGACAAGATGATTACGATGCGAGTTTGGCGAGCCCTACCTTATTCAATTAGCTCCACGAAGCGGTCAGCTACGTACGTACAGCGAGACTGTCCCGAGTGTTGAAGATTGCAAGTGCGCACAGCCGTCTAGTCTCTCGGGCCGTCTCAGGCTACTACGTCTGGCAGGGCAGGCTAGGGATGCGATTACGCATTTGGCGAGCCCTACACCTCATAATATATTCCTGACATCTTCGTCTGCCAGCTGCGCTGGGCGGTGAAGGCGTACTAACAGCCGGTCGCCTGCTTTCCAGCAGCTGCAGTGCGACTCCACGGGACTGGACTTCACCTGTGCTCTCTAAGCTACTGCGCCTCACCACCCCTTCGACTTTGAAGACTAATATTTACGAGGTAGTAGACGACGCTACGACTAAACCAGCGTCGACGTCTGCCCAGCGCGGGACATCATTACTTCACGAGTGTATAATATCAAGAGCATATAAAGAAGGATTGATAATATCATGCTCTTGATGATATGATAATATGGAGTATTATTATACTATACAATCAGGAGTGTCATAAATTAATAATTATAGTCTATATTATGATGACACTCCTGATACTATATTATACACTCCTGATTAATTCATGTGTAATTGAAATTAGATGAGGACGATAGACCAAAGAAAGAGAGAGGGAGAAAGAGAGGGATGGGGGAGGGGGAGAGGGGGAAAGGAGAAACAGAAGAGAGGGGTGGAGGGAGCTAGGAGAGAGAGAGAGAGAGAGAGAGAGAGAGAGAGAGAGAAAGAGAAAGAGAGAGGGAGGGAGAGCAGAGAGTGAGCGAGGCAGGGGTGGTTAAAAATCAGAGCACCCATAAAGAAGAAGTTAATTAGATACACTTGCTTTTCGTCTTTCCCCATCTGCCTCTTCTGTGCGCGCTCTCTCTCTTTCTCTATCTCTCTCTCTCTCTCTCTCTTTCAACCCCCCTCTCTCTCCCACTTTCTCGCTCTCTCTCTCTCTCTCTCTCTCTCTCTCTTGTCATTCAATTAAATTGTCTAATTCGGAATCATGTCATGACTATGTGATTTGTCATTCTGGCACTAACCAGATCATTGCTGCTGCTACTGCTGTCATGTGGAAGGAACATCAGATGCTGCGCAACGCAAAACGAGTCAACGCAACTCCCTTCTTTGTCCGGAAAAATCTCGTACGTTCAATTACAAATCAGTACATCATGTATACGCATGCAGACGTGTATACGCATATGACACACCAGCAGGTCTACTACACACACAACTGCATCAGCACCGAAGCAGCATTCTGCATCCAGTAGTTTGTCATGCTAATGAGGTGGCCGTTGGCATCTGCATTTCCCATTAGGGGTAGCGGCCAATGTGTGTCACAGCTGGCCAGGCCTCACTGTTATTGTATTAGTGTTTACTCTAACAGCAACAATGAATAACGTATAACGACATCTATAGATAGACGTCAGGTGGGTTGCACACGAATTTTAACCACCCTTTTGCAGCTTTGATTATGTTTTTAATTATATACTCTGCTGATGAAGAGCTCAATGAGCTACTGTACATGGATATGACATAGGTCACTGTCTTTCTATCGGCAATAACTTTAGGAGGCTATCCCTTGTCGCGGCCCTACCTTCCCCTTATTCTCATCGTAAATGACTACCATAAACTGTAAGTCAGCACATGCACATGCCTACAGAGTAATATGTATGTGCCAATGGAAACTTAGTACCTAACAAGTACCAACTATGTACAGGATCACACTGAATAAGGTTATGCAAGAGTTACCAGCGAACCAACTTACAGGCAACTGTCAACACCAAATACAACATTCATTCTTAGTCTCAGGATCATATTGTTCAGCTGTCCTTATGGTACTAAGTATAATATATACTTGAAATACTAAACAAATGGCAATGATGGCGTAATACTCTCACTGCTAGGGCATAACTTTAGTTACACAAAGAAGGTTTTAGTTGGCTAAATAATGCATTTCTATTTCTGCAAACAAACAATTTTTGACCATGTTGCCTTGCTCAACGTTAAAAACGATTGTCACGTGTGACTGTGTGGGTTATTTTGCAGACCCATGTGTTTCAGGATAACGGTTGGCTGCTTGTGTAAACCAATGAGTGGATTATCTTTGTTTTTTATGATCGTGCACGATCTGATAAGTTGCGCAAAACCACTTTCCAGCCAAGGGCTACAGACCGAGGGTGTTTCTTATTTATTCATTTAAAAGCAAAAGGATTGTAATATCTTATAAACGGCATATAGTTTCAGTTATAATATGGATAAATTTGCCCTAAAATGAATATCATTCGGTATAAATATAATTGCACTTTTGTGATTAGCCCTCGGTCTGTAACGTGCAAAATAAATTGTCAAATACGCAACTTTTTGGGGGGTGGCAGCACGGTCGCGGGTCTCCTGGCGCCGTTCAAATATCGTCGCGTTGATGTGTAATTAATTATAACAATTAAATTAGGTATCTGGTAACAAATACGTGTGGGTATAGACGATTTGTTATACAGTAAGTACAGTTGTATGCAGTAAAATCCTAGAGGCTACTGTCCCTTTAAGTATTTGTTCAGTGTAAAATCCACTACACAAATAATAAACATGTGCACAGACAATGAACGGAGCAAAGCAAAAGTACTAATATAGGATTGTTTTAGTTTTGATTGAAAAAATATTGAAACATAACATATTTTTAGTTTGATCACACGGCATGAATGTCAATATGTCAATAGGTACTTATGTCTAAATTAATACTAACCGTATTTCCTGGCAAAGGTCACACGGTACAATAAATGAACAATACTAGTAATAATATCATAAAAAGTACAAGTACAACTACAACTTACAAGTACAAGATATGTTTATGGTAGATACAATAATGTAATCCAACAGAGTAAGTTAATAATGCTACCCATTAACTACCCGTAGGTAAACTAACTTCACTCTGTTAGGTTACATGATTTATGTTCATTTTTTTCACTTTATTTGTCATTACGCCAGTGAAGTAATTACATGATGATGATGAGAATTTTGAAAGATATCCGTTCAAGTTTACACAAAAATACGCAAACATAAGTAAACAACTTCCATTCTGCCAGCGAATAACAATAAGTGAAAAACCTGTTGATAATTTAATTGAGATCATTAATCTTACAAACTAACACAGAATCAAGACAGACTGCATACTTACAATTTACCGCTGACTGGTTTGAACTCTGCCTGCTCTTTCATCCGTGGAGATGTGAGAATCCGTGAGAATCCGTCACAAGATGTGAAAATGTTCACTTGTTATTTTTGTAGGGGGCGCGACATTACAGTAAACAAACCTCACGTGCTTTGTGCTTTGTCGTAAACAATGAAACAACGTACGTAACTTATACTTATAGTTGAAATTTCTTGCGTAATCGTTGTTTAAAACTTTACTTCAATAGGTCCAGAAATCAGCTTTCATCAACTATATAGTGTATGTGTACATTTGGTGGTTATAAATCGCTTCAGTTATCTGACCGCTGATAGAGATTGATCGATATGATATTTTTCAATACTCTACTGGAAATATTTTTCACCACCAGGAGTGCTGCAGGCATAACAGCTGTGCAACAACAACAGAGAGACGACGTATGATGGCATCGACTCGTCCACGGTCGAGATCTTTATTGGGATCTTCAAAAAAATGGGTCGACTGCCTAGATACTCTAACGTGCGCGATATGCTTAGAAATTTTTGAGAAACCCATGGTCATTTCATGCGGACACATGTAAGTGGTTCACGTTGGAAAGCTATTTTGCTTTGTTGGATTTTTGCCAAAATTAATTCATTCATCCGTTCTTTGTTTCTGAGAATTTTAGTAAGGTTGGTAATAACGTTTATATGCGAAGTCACAGAGCTTTCTTACTTCACATCACTTAATGCAAGCGTTGAACAAAATTGTTTGCTTATAAATCATCAACTGTTATGTATTAGAAGTCTGTAAAGTAATTTTGTTCACTTTCTTTGTTCATGGACCACATGTCACTCTCTGTGATGGATTGGATTGGTACTACTACTACTAGTACTACTACTACTAAACTATTGTGCCAAAATCTGTTTAAGTGGTCTGTATAATCACTCCAAATTTTCGTGGGCACTTGTTGGGCTGATTTATCACAGACTAGTCTGGCATTCTTGTTGTTTTAAAACATGCTTGCATGCAATTCAGAAAATGATTTCACACCATGAAAAATCACTCAAACTCGTTACCCAGGTTATAGATGTAATAATGTAGTGCAGCTTTGTTAGAAGACTTGCCCGTTTTTTAATCTAGTGAGAGAACGAAGTTGATGTGTAGAAAAAAAGATGTATCTAGAGCGTTCCCGTGATGTGTTATAAAGAGTTAATTTACTCGCTAAATATTCATTTCAGGTTTTGCAATAGCTGCTTAAATGCTTATGAGAGCATGCCAGATGCCCAGTGTCCGTTATGCCGCTCAAACTTTAGCCCAGGGCGCAGAAAAAAGGCTTGTGATGTCGAGAAGGAAATCTCCGGCAGTAAATCCATGTGCTCTGGCTGTTCCAAGAAGGTGTGTGTGATCTCGTGACAGCACTGTGTGTACATACTTCAGTATATGAAAGCCACGAAATGCAACTTAATAGAATATAATAATTTAAGCTACACAACAACACTCCCTGCAGCAGATTTATCAGTTTTAGCAATCACTATAGTACCAGTGAATGGTGAAATTGAATGCGTATACATCATTCATACTGCATCGTCACTTTACACGGTGTGGCATTTATACATTGCTTCATAATCAGCTAATGCATGACATTTTTTACGTAAATCCGCAGATGTCCGTATCGAAGCTTCGCAGTCATCATTCATCTTGTTCCAAACTTGCCAAGGTGGCAAGGAGCCTCAAGTTCTCCCCCGTCGCACGAACATCACAGCCAGTACCGAGGTATTGTGTTTACAGAGTATGCGATTCTGTGTTTTAAAAGGCTTAATGCTGTACCATACTGCATACATGTAGTTAATTACATGTTCATCAAGCTGCATAGTAAAGTTTTAGGTTCGTGGGTGCCAATACTTGCATACATGTCTATTAGCTCATTAAGTTCGTATTAGCTAGATATCTTGTGAATTTCAAATGCAGGTCCTATGATCCACTCAGTTTGTTTCTTATTTGAGTTTTGTTCAAGGTACGTGTGACAAAATGGATGCACATGTATTAGTAGTGCGGGTGATTGTAATGTAATAAATAGATGATGGTTTTCCTATTTCCTGTTTGTTCCAGTGATGTTCCAAACCGTGCTACCTTCAAGTGTCCATTCTGTGGCCTGATGAATCTTGATTTGCAAGGGCTGACAAAGCATTGCAATGATAAACATTCAAAAAACTATTCACAAGTGGTATGTTTGTATTCAGTGGTTAAAAATTGTAATTTTGTTGATCAGACAAGTGGTTGAGTGGACCTTCTATCAACATCATCAACTAGAGCACTCGGAGAGTGCAGACCTCCGCCAAGGCAGCTGAATTCTCTCACTGTGAAAAATTTAATTAATTAAATAATTAATTTGATCCGGATCACCACCAAAATGTAATCAATTCTAAGTTACCCCATTTCTGACCTATCCTGAAAATTTTATGACAATCTATCCAAAACTTTTTCAGTTAGGCTGTACACAAACCCACAAACCAACAAACACACGCCGGTGAAAAAATAACCTCCTGCCAACCCCTTGGCGGAGGTAATAACCATGCTTATTTACTTCTAATACAATATATAGCCATAAACAGTATTAAGCCGTATTAATTGTCATTGCCATTGTAACCATCTGTGTTGACATAACCTGTCTAAGGTGAAATTAATGAAGTTTTAATGAGAAATATGTGGCAATGTGCTCTCTTGGCAGCGAGTGAGTCAGTAAACACTAATACTTCCTTTTGTATTATTTGTAGGTGTGTCCAATTTGTGCAGCTATGCCCTGGGGTGATCCCAGTCTTAAGAGCTCAAATTTCATACAGCATCTCAATTCGCGTCACAGATTTGAATACGACACTTACGTGGTATGTTGCCCTTTGATAAGCTAGGATTAGATGATCGTGGTAGTCATTTTATGCATAACGGAGTATATATCTAACAGGAGTATACCCTGTCGATACAAGGCCCGTGCTTTACTAAGGCTGCATAAAACTTGTCACGTTGTGTACGCATTGTTGAAAAACTGCAACAGTGCTGGAAATTAAATGTATGTGGCATTTTTATGTAATTTTGCTGAAGCCCTGGAGTAGTATCAAGATTTACAAAATATTGTCATTCTCTTGTATATTGTATATCGCTCGTTTGAAATTCGTATCTCACTTTCATATCGCAGGTTTCGTTTTTATTACATAATAGCAACCACTGTCTATTGCAAGTCGTTCTGTAGGGTTTTTTTTAATACTGATGAACTGGCAAATATAATTTAGCTGCTGCCCTCTACTTTTCTATGAAACTGGCTAATTTTAGTTGAACTTTTTTTTCAGGATTTTAGCATAGATGATGAAGAGGCTCTCAAGGCTGCCATAGCAGCATCTTTGAAGGATCTCTAATCTGCCTCAGCTGAAACTCAATGAATATATTCTAAGCATGCAGAGCTTTTCCCCTATTTAAGCCTGCTTTGCAGGACAGCTGCGGTAGGTAACTGCGATGTAGGGGGGCGCTATTTGAAATGCCAACTTATATGTGTGAAGGATGGGAGTCTATGTGATATGTAACTGTAAAAGACAACCACTCGAAATGAATATATACATATATGTGTATATATATACATATATATATATATTGCATCCTTCTCTTACATAACTATAAAATAGAGTAGTTACTACAAATCTTAGAAAATATTGAAGTGTGTGTTAAATTATATCAGGTACTTTGCAGTCATTATCACCTATGTGTATATAAATGTAGATGTATATATCATCACTTCATACTATTAAGTTATATTTGCATGCTTATTTCATACTGTGTGTAGTTTTCATGTGTGTGTGTCTGGGTGGAAGGTTCGATCCATACTAGAATTTGTCCCCCATTCTCCTTGTTAGATTAATTAATAATTGGGTTAATTATTTGAAAAATCTCCACGGTAGCATTAGCCATACTGTCAACTATATGATAGTGCACAGTAATATAATAGAACAACTTGTATGTTAACATAATCGTTTGGCACTGAAAAGCAACATTTGTCGTAAAATACATCAAGAGGTTATTATTTACACTGCCATCAGCAGGAACCCATTCCATGTATTTAATCCCGCGATCTTGCCATTAACTGTTGCGCTAAAGCATGAAAATATAGAATGAATCTACGTATCCAAAATGCATTAGGCCATGCTATGACGAGTAGCTGTAATCATCTAATAACTAGTCACGTGCAATACATGTAGTCTAAAAGCATATAAAATCTAAGGATAGCTTTGGCTGAAAATTAGTGCTACAATAAGTTAACACTAATAATATCAGGAGTAAGATAATATAGGATCTATATAGGATATATAGGATCCTATATTATCTTACTCCTGATAATATCAACACTAATGAATAAATAGTTTAAAGAAATATAGAACTTCATGCAGTTTAGTGACAGTGTTTTAGGTGTGTAGTGTTGCAACACTGACAGGCCCGGTAATTTTTATGCATAATTTTAACCGGTGTAATTTAGTGTGAATAGGATTATTGCACAAGCCATAATTGCTACATCGGCATTTAAATCTCGCTGGTTGAAGTATTTTGAAATCTCGGTATGAGAATGTTTTCTGTGTTGTACTCCAACACCGTCCTTTGATAGGCAACTATTTAACGGCAAATTCATGCAATAATATTGCAGTAATTTATAAGAAATTACTGTAAAACCAGTATATAATAATAATAATAATAATGCACTTTATGGGAAATTTATAATCTTAAAAATGAAACTGTAAAATGAGTAATGTTGCCGTACTACCTGAAAAATATAAACTCAAAACCGTTTCAATATGAGGTTAAAAAAAAGAAGCCCAAATTTAGATGAGCTGAAAACGATGTTTGACTGCCTACTACCCATCCACCTACCAGGTAGATGTTCACCATAAACTAGGCCACACCTTTGTGTTATCTATGTTCTTACTCCTCAAATCCCCTATATACTAACGTGCACTACACAAACCTACAACTTTGTAGTTTTCGGAGACATTCACTATAAAAAAAACTGCATCATATAATCTGCGAAGTATAGCCTGTCATAAGTAGCGTTTTCCAGGCTTCATATTTAACAGCACAATTTATAAAGGTGCTCTTAAAAGCTCCTAGGTACTAACTACCAGTAACGTGCGACACATGTATATGCATAGTCTAAGCCAAGTGTGCAATCAAGATCTAGTGCTGCAAGTTCGTAGAGATATCAGCATCACTACGTTTGAAGTTGTGGCAGCCCGTCCAAACGAAATGTCCTCTTGGCCCGGGGTCGTGCCCCTCTCCTAAAGATCGTGTTTTCTTCCGCCATTTTTATGTTTAGCTCTCTCCCAAGCTCATGTCCTCCTGTCCTGGGGCCATGGTCATTCTTCCTGAGATAGTCTTTTCTTCCTTACGTGTCATGACTTCCCTCCATGAGGTCAGGAATAACCTCAAAATAAGATGAGTGATTCTCCAGTTGTCCATGCGTGGCAGGGCCTGCTGATATGCTAGGGGAAGGATCAGGGCCTGGAGAAGAATCAAAAATTTACTATGCCTCCGAAGTTAAAATCAAAGATTGCGTAGAAATTTGCAGTATAATGTGAGTTGACTGATTTGCTGAGACGTAAACTGTGTGCGGTGATCGGTTTTTATGGCATTTAAGTGAAGTGGCAGCATTTATCATAATAGGGGATTCTCAGAGCAGATCCCATAATACCTTGGCCAGCCTTGGCCAGCCTGTTCACCAGCAAATCTGAAGGTAATCTCTGCCTGTTATTTTTGTTGGAGTCGGGGTTCATTGGCGAGAAAAAAATCGTCTACCATTTCTTCTCCTTCCAAATCTTTGGGTCGTCTCCCAGGGAAATGTTTCCAAGCACCTGGGTGTTTCATGGGGAGGTTTGTGAAACTGCACCCCATAGTGCTTCCACTGGCCTCCTGTTCAAATATGCCTTCAACATGAGGTTTATTATCACATAGCAGGTGGGGTTTCATTTGAAATTATGTCATTGAATTGCTTTCGATAAAAGTAAAAGTGTGCACGTTGAATGGGTATATTAGCATACAAAATATCTTATCTAGATGCGTGATGGAATTGACTACCTATCTATTGTCATTTTATACCCAGTTTTCATAACTTTGCATGTATGCAATTCTTTTCAAATTCTCATGTTTTCTCAATGACTTGGAAATTAACTCTATAGATACTATTATGTATACTTGTACTATCGATTCTGAATATTTTTCAACCGTACATACATGATGTACAGGATGTTTAATTCTCGTTATTTTGATATTGTTATATTAGATGGATGAACAGACACATTGAATTGTTACTTCCATTTATAGGATGTATAATGTATGGATACGAGTGAATACATGTGCTGGCCTATTACTCGGTGAACTAAAGCCGGTGTCCTCGTTACTTCCTGCCCTTTGTTTGATAAAGTTCTCGTTTTATTGGCATGGCTGTAATCATATATTAGTGTACCTGAGCTCTATAGAAGAGATTTCCGAGTGCTGGCAGGTTTATTATGTAATTCCATAGCCGGTTTTTGTTGTGATGTATTTAGGAAAAACATAATAAAGTGCTAAGTAAATGTTTATATATGTTTTATATATATCATTTATCATATCATATATCAGTATGCCCTGCCCTGCATGAAAAACCTACTACAGTACTATGTCCATACTGGTTATCCCAACAGCAATTCAACAGAGTACTCTAAACTTATATTTACAACGACTCTTTGCAAATGCTATACAAATGTTATCCTACATAACAGAAGTTGCACATACCCTACATGGATATGCCTAATCTTTAACAGTTTTGTATAAAAGTCGTCTTTTTAAGCACGTACTTGTAATATTTATATTAGAATCGTTCCGAATTCATGGATGCTTGTAGAGTGTTAATTTCAATTATATAGCCTCAAGACTTCAATTTACCTCGCCATTAAATTTCGAAAAACAATGAGAAGATTGCAACACCATCCTAATAGGGCATAAAGTTATTATTTACAGAATATGCAACACCACCAGACCAAACTCTACCGAAAACAAAGCATTTACTGCACTAAAACGTGCATGATTAAGCATTGCTGATGGTAATTAAAATCTGCGAATTAAGCACTGGCGACGAGTGTTTGATTGTTTTGTTGATTCGGTAATTTTCACTACAGGTTACCTGCCTCAGTCAGGAATTGCAGTCCTGCTAACATCGAAGCGTGAAGTCCTTGTACAGCAACAAACTCTGATTCTTGCAGGAGTTGTGTGAGAGAGCACGAAATCATCTCCACACAATCAGTTGTCTTCGCAAAGTGTCAGGACACAATCTTTCTCTGTTGGGTTTAAGTTTCTCCCTTTACCCAAAATGTGGTATACGTCCGATGTCACCTCCTGATCAAATTTAAGAGTTTTCATCCTATAGCACAGAGAGCTGTAACTTGGCAGTGGGTAGCCTTCTGATACCAAAAACAGATATCCCCGAATGCCAACAGCACACCTGAGCTGAAACATAAAATAAAAGCTCAACTATTAAACACATGAAAATAATTTTGCTAACTGTAGCGATGTGCATTGCAGTGGTATAGGTAGACAGATATGTTAAAAGATTTTACAATAAAATTTAACAAGATGTTCAACAAAATATTCACACATCTTAATTTGATTCATTAAAATGAGGTATAGCAGTGAAACAGGATGCACATTGATCATTATACTGTTACATAATTTAAGAAACAGCATCTCATACACATCTACACATGAAATGTGATACAGCCAGTATTGGAAGATTTGGAACAGGCCCATTCGCCAGCAAATAGCCGCATTTTGAATTATAAATAGCACAAACTTCCTGATTATCGGCAATGCTAAGATTATTCACGATTATTTGTAACATTATGTGTCCGGTGAATACCTGGAATGCACGTTTGATGGTGTTTGCTGACCAAACGCAGTTTTTCCTTTTGGTCTTGCATTTGAGCATTTGAATTTGTTCAGGGTTTAGGAATGCACCGAGTGAGGTCTCCATTTGTCTTAGTGTCTGATCAAGCATTAACATCTTGGGTATAAAGAAAATAAAACATTTAGACATTTCTACCCAATATAATTATAGCCAATATATATTTATACCCAATAGTTTAAAAGGGAATCATAAAGAATGCATATATAACATGTGTTACTCCTTAGTTCAGTATCTTATCGCATTACATGGCTTTCCGTTTATAAACTGCGCAACCCAGAAATGTAGTTCCTTATTGGTATAAAAGATTGTGGTTTGTACCTGCCTTTGAAGTTTAACATTTTCCAGCCGTAACTTTGTGATTTCATTCCAGCACTCTGCATGGTCACCTTTTTTCAAGTATTCAGGAAATTCAGCATTTGCCTTATTTTTCTCCTGGCTACAAATATACCAACACACACATCAACTGCTGTGCACTATTTGCACTGCACATTATAGAAACAGTACAATAGCTTATTAAAATATATTATTAATATCATGCTTCCTTCGATGTTCACCTTTCTTTCTTTTGATTTGCTGCATAATTGTGCTCATATCCTCTCGCTGCTTGCTCCTTCTGGAAATCTTTGGCCCTAATCATTGCTGCCATTTCTTCTGCATCGTAGATTTTTATGGGAGGATTTGGCACAGAAAATATTGTTGGGATAGCATTTGGCTTCAACTTGTTTGGAACATTTCTCTCAAACTGAGAAACTTCAAAATGTGCCTAAAAAACATTTACAACAAATTAAAATCAAATATACAAACGTATATATGCACAATGTAACTTTTACAATTAAAATGTAGCTTTGACCTACTAAATTCTAATACCTTTTTGCAAGAGGAAAGTTATATTCTTGAGCTACTAGTCCTGCTAAATAATCATAACATTTAAACGGCATAGTATCTCATGTTTTAATAAGATTTAAATTAAATGTAAACCCATGGCAAAACATTTTAACTTGAAGGTAACTTCACATCCACCAGTGTAAACTATGTAGAAGATTACCTGACATAAACGACTGGTGTTGGTCGGCGTCCAACTGCCTCTCCGACAATTCAGGTGCCACTTTCTCCTTCTCACGGGGTCACGGGGAAAGGAATACATTCTCATGCTCCTTCCGCCCCTATGTGAGCACCCAGGCGCAGCGCAGTAACTTGGCATTATGGTGTACTTCCCTTATATGCGTTCTTTAAAAAAAACCATACATATCAAGCTGTTTGCAGTTCTTGGAAAACATTGTTTCGTAGCTGCTCTTGTGGCAGAACAGGAGCTACCGGGTTTACCTTACGATAAGTAGTACTAGGAATTTTGCTTACAAAATATAAGCCATAAAAATACAATAAAGCTTATATTCAATCTTCCTATTAAGTTAGCGTTTCTGATGTATATGCCATGATTTTGGTCTCGCACTAATACACCAATGGGATAATAAACATCTTCTAAGCCAGTGCTTTTTAAACTATTCACTGTCATCAGTTTTTATCACAAAATTTCATTCACCCGCGACTAAATTTCCTTGTTTTTGGCAAGTTTCAGTCAAATAAAATCCCTAAAATAATTTCATTCACCCTTGGGTGAACCATTCACCAGTTTAAGAAGCACTGTTGAATGCTATCCTCCTATTGCTTACCATGTTAGTCCTAAGTGGGCTTGTAAAACAAACCTATAAACCTTCACATTCCTCTGCAATTTAAGTGTTCCAACATTCCTCTTCCTCAATTCACAGAGTAATAATTTCCACAGTCCCTAACCTTTAACCCTGGATATCATTTAACTGGCAAAGTTCTCTGTGTTACCTTATGAGCTGACCATCGATAAATATTGACTGTCATGATTCCAAGGTTTGACATTTTTGGAAAGAAATTAAATAAATTTATATACCAATTTTTCCATCGTGAAACTTGCCATTTAAATAATAAAATGATGGTGAAAAAAACGAATTGCAATTACCACCAGTGTTAATGTGTACTCTCTACCACCTAATAATTCTATGCAATGCTGTTCCTATGCTCCTCTGCTTACACAATCCCAACACACATAATATGTCACTGTGCAGAAACAAACACTATATCTTCAGAAGCGTCGCTAACTAATTTTTCCTGGGGGGAAGCCATGTACATGCTGTGCTCTGGGAAGGTGACCGCCTTTGACCACGTAGCCACGTACTATATCTACTTTTTTCTGGGCGGGCAACTGCCCCTGTGCCCCCCCCCCCGGCTAGCTACAGCCCTGATCTTTATGCGACTTTTGTGTATAAAGTCGTGAATGCATTGAGAATGTGCACTGCAGGTGAGCAATTTAACAGCATAAAGTGGAATTATTAGACGAGGGAGAGTATATAAACATTCAGACGTTGGTAGTAAATACAATTTCCTTTTTATTTACCATCACTTCATTATTCGAAACGGCCCCATATGGCCAAACTGTGCACAATATGGGCTACAGTGATCAGGCTGCAATCATCATAGCCAACTATGCTGCAACTCCTCACATTCGCCACTGCCACTGTAGCTCTAGTACTAAAGCCCGCGTACAGTACGCGGGCTATAGTACTACTAGACCGAATAATTCTGTCCCATATAACCTTTTTTATATTTTGGTGAGGGTTATATTGGGACAGAACGGGGTTCATTGAAATTTTTTTTTTTCGTGAGATCGCATGCAAAATGCATGCGCTGCGAATGCCGCCCGTACGCCCTATTGGCGCGAAAAAACCCTATCGTTCCCTTCTACATGACTTTTACCTTGCTACAGATATGTGTATACATTCACTTCAATCGTTATTCACTTCTTTAAAAGATTTTTTTCAGAAACCCGCTTCATTCCACTTTCGTAATAACATTCGCCATTTTACAAACAATCAGACCAATCAGAGCGAGTCTATCAGCCCCCTGCAGCGCCACAGAGTACAAGCGAGAACCAGGCTATTGTAACATCTCGCTCTGATTGATCTGATTGTTTGAAAATGGTGATGTTATTTACGAAAGTGAATGAAGCGGTTTCTGAAAACAATCTTTAAAGAAGTAAATAACGATTGAAGTGAATGTATACACATATCTGTAGCAAGGTAAAGTCATGTAGAAGGGAACCGGTAGGGTTTTTTTCGCGCCAATAGCGGCGTATCGGGCCGCATTCGGCAGCGCATGCATTTTGCATGCGATCTCACGAAATTTCAATGAACCCCGTTCTGTCCCAATATAACCTCACCAAAATATAAAAAAGGTTATATGGGACAGAATTATTCGTCTACTAGTAGTACTACTAGAGCTACTGCAACTGTAACGCACAGGCTGTGTGACTAACGTCAAATACATCCGCCTGAACATCCATCCATTGAAAAATCTTGTAGCTGTACAAAAACTACCGAACAATTACGTATATCTCAATAAAATGATCATCTAAGCATTTCTGCCTTGTTTGTGATCAAATATAACCTTCCTTATAGTATTCCAGGGTTGTTATCAAACTATATACCTCAGTTTGCTGTGCACAGTGTAAATTTCAAGAGGCCGAACCGAAATTTCAACTAACCGCCAACCGCCATGTTTGCAATGCGCATGATTTGTCGAACCGGCACGCGGAAACCCGAAACGACATAACATACCATAGCGTTGCAACTTGCGTTGGCGCGAGCATAAATAACATCATAATACTCGTATATATATAAATATTAAAACATTGAAAACAGCAGAAACGTCAATCTACACAACAACTTAATAAATTATCATTGCGAAGATATGTACTTGCGTGTTATTTGGCCTACGCACTGTAAAAAATCAGGTCCATTGCGCGATTTTAGTTGCACTGAACATGTCGGCTGTCTGGTTGTTTTGATCCAATTAATCTCAGAAAAACGGCATAACTCAATAAATAAGTAGCGCCCAGTAGCGCCCAGTTACCCGCGAGCAAGCCAGAGGTTTATAGATTCGTTTGAGCTATTAGTATTACATGTGACGCTAGCTGTGTCGAATGGTTGATACCGAGCCAACTACAAGGAATTGTGGGCAAGAATTTGAAACGGTATTCTAACCCTAGCAATACCGTTTCTTGGAGCTACTGCCACTGGTGATCGGCACACTTTCCTGTATACACACACTACACTACATCCATTACACACTAAAAGTACAGGTAGATGCTTAGGTACTACTACAGGTAGATGCTAGGGGCCGGGACCTCTGCCTACCGACAAGATATTTTGATCAAGATATTCTTGACAAGTTAGCGCAAATAGTTGAAGTTACACTTGTTTTACTTTTACTAGTTTTAGGGCCTACTTTTAGTTTTGGCTGTTGCTCCTGCGACGGTACCGCGCCGATTATTTTTCTCTTAAAGTCACGGTACTGACGGTACTGACGCCTGATTGGTTGAGCTTGTTTTCTTGCGATATACATAGCACATCCAATTTTAATTTCAATATGTGGCAGCAGCGCAACGGGTAGAGCGCTTGCCCCAAGTATGAATGTTCGCGGGATCGAATCCCATCCGTTTTCTAATTATTTTCCTGTTTTCTGTATTTTTCTATCTTTATCTGTTAACATTTTTTTGTCCATTAACGCAAAATATCAACATTATTTATTTACAACATTTTAATAACAACAATTAATTTCTACAACAATTAAAAATTAAATGTTATTAATTAATAGAGTTAGGGTTAGGGTTAGGTTAGGGTTAGGGTTAGGGTAGGGTTAGGGTAGGTTAGGGTTAGGGTTAGGGTTACGTTATATCGTATAAAATCGTATATATATATCTTACCAAAAGCAACGGTAGTTATTATTCGCCGATAGATGGCGCCTGCATCACTACCGTGAGTTGAAGAGAAAATAATTCGGCGACGGTACCGTCGCAGGAGCAACAGCCTTTAGTTTTACTTTGAGAACTTGAGCAAACTTTGTCAATCCAAGTTTTACGCAAAATTTTCTACTTTATAGGTGCTTCAATTGCTCATGCCTAATAACAAGCAAATTATATCCTTAAATTGACTTGCGAACCACGTTTTACATTAAGTTGTGGCACAAACAAAACATTTCCGAGTTTATATAAATAATATAATACAGAATCACCTACACTCTATGGAAATGGACGCGAAGATTGTCCGTCAAAAACAGCGACCTCTCTATAACAGCGAGATTGGCGCTGCAAGCTGCGACACTTAGAACTGGTACCCGTTTGCCACATTTACTCCGGCATATATATCTCTTCGCTACACTGACGCTGTTAGGGTTAAGGGTTTAGGATTAGCGTGTGGAACTGTCGACCAGGGTACATCAGGCGACAACTTTCCTTCTGACAGTAACATTTACCAGTGAACTTAATCACAGTAGTCAGTAAATCAGTAAGGTGTAAGCTATAACCTACGAATTTTAACCTTATTAATATTAATAAGGAAAATATATAGCTGCATTCTTAAACCGTCGATGTTTGGTAAGTTACAGCTAAAAATTCCAATGCGCTGCGAAGTACCCCACGAGAGTAGTTAGACTAAGACTGTAAGAGTAAGAGTAAGAGTACTAAGAAGAGTAAGACTAAGCCTAGTCACTAAGCCTGAGTTAGCCACAAGTTCCCATCTCGCTTAACACTACGTGTCGTGTAACAGTCGGAGAGCCTGGTCGGTTTAAGCCTGAGTAAGAGTAAGACTAAGCCTAGTCACTAAGCCTGAGTTAGCCACAAGTTCCCATCTCGCTTAACACTACGTGTCGTGTAACAGTCGGAGAGCCTGGTCGGTTTAAGCCTGAGTAAGAGTAAGACTAAAGAGTAAGAGTATAGACTGACTCAGTTACTGCTAGGTACTCAGTCACTCGCTACAATACAATCTAGCCCGACCAGGCTGTGCGACGGATTGTCTATACAGCTTGTGACGCTCATAGGGTCTATGTCCCCCAGGGTGAGGGTACTGCCGGAACGTACCTCGCCTACTCTACTAACGAGTCTAGGGAGTCGCCTACGCCTACTCCCTAACCCTAACCCTAATCCTAATCCTAACCACATCAAATAGTGACCAGGGTACATTCCGGTACACCGGACCGTACCCTGGTCACTATTTGATATGGTTAGGGTTAGGGTTAGGGAGTAGGCGTAGGCGACTCCCTAGACTCGTTAGTAGAGTAGGCGAGGTACGGTCCGGCATATTAGATAGTACCAGGGTACGTTCCGGCAGTACCCCGGGGGACATAGACCCTCTCAGCGCTTCTAACCTTAGCAAGACCATTTCTTGGAGCTACAATACAATCAAGCACAGTCTACACCAGGGCTGGGGTTCTTTGGTGGACCCCTTCGGGGTCCGTGGATGGGCTTCAGGTGCTTATGTGCATTTTTCTGGGGAGGGGCGGTAGCTTTTACTAGATTCTCAAATGGGTCCATGACTCAAAAAAGGACTGGTCTACACAGTGTACACTAGTTTGACAATCTGGTAGTGGTGCCAACCGGAGTCCTACTGCTAACTCTACTTGTGTAGCTCCCCCCCCCCCCACACAGGGCATGTAGCTTTACCTGTAGCTGTATGATGCATCTGTTGTTGTGGTGGGAGCGAAGGGGACACATCAGTGCACTGTACAGTAGAGCTATTCAAATTCTAGTTGTGCATTGCGCCAACACAAAGTGTCACTGTCGCACTACTGCTAGCACCAGTACTGTGGTTCGCGGACAGTAATACCAGGGTTCTCCCAAGGAATCGCAGTGAGTAGGCATGTCGGGCAATTGGGCAGTTCATTCCCTATTGCTAACTGGAGTCAATTACGCTTGTCGTAAGCTGCCTAAATATTCAGGTAAACTCGGGTCAGTTCGAAGATGTTTATGATTAAGTTGTGATTAATTATTGCATAAACCATTATGCTACATACTGACAGTCACACATTAGTAGTAGGTAACTAATGTGAGTTAATATTGCTAATTACACATCTCAAATGTGTTGCTCTTAATTTTTTTTTGGTATAACAATCAAATTTGACAACATAAGAGAGATATTACTATACTGTGTCATTTGTAACCTTCTCCCTTTTGAGCAATGGCAGAGCCAAACGACTTTAGCAGTGGAGTAACTGAGAAGGAAAAAGAGCTCGCAGCAGATGGTGCTCAGGAGTTTGAAAGTGTATGTATTATTTAGGGCCTATTGTATTGCATTATACAATGCCTGTGTCTACATTTAATCAGTGCCTCCTCTAGCCAGCTGGTGTCTACAATCAGTGTTTTGTGTCTTAAATCAATTTCTAGGAAGTCTAGTGTCACAATCCTTAAATAAATGTATGTAATAAATAAATCCTAATACTTGTATATTTATTAGTGGTTGATATCTATGATTAATGATTACAGTGCATTCTATTATAAAATCATCTCAGGCTTCAGTTCAACATGTGCAGCGAGTTGTACATGCAGTATAGTTTCTATATATGTTTAGTAAACCGCTTATAGAAATATAGTAAGTTACTCTGATTTATTTTGACTTGATCTATAAATGAATCTATTGATAAACGATCGTTTATTACATCAGTTAATAAAATTCTACGTGTGAGCGCAGTCCCATTACTATATGTTGACATATGGTGTAATACATTAACAGAAGTCTCACACTGTGGTTCGTTTCAAACAGAGAAGCTACATATCCTGTGTCAACGTCCTCGATGACATCATCACGTCACGTTCTAATGACCCAAAAGTACTGCACAACAGGGCTGTGGCAGAGTTCTACAGATCAGAATTCAATAAGACAGACGAGTTTAAGCAGGACCTCAGCCTTGTCTGCAAAAAGGTGGTGACTAGTGTTTGTTTTTGGTAATATAATTAATGCATCAGTCTTTTCAAAAGATGAAGAAAAAAATTGTGTTCCATTCACACATCTGCCTAGTTTTATTGAACGGCAGCTCTGTGCAATCATTGTTGTGATGTGACATTCAAAAAACAATACTTAGCAATGAAGTGCTTTAAAGTAGACATTTTGGGATGTATGTGTGAGAAATACATGTGAACTAGTTTAGCTTGGTTGACCTAGCATCAATGTCCAGGGGGGGCTGTGGTTATCTGGCCGAGGGAAATGGGTCAATTGTTGCATTTATTTTAGATAGATATTCTCGTTCTTTGTCTACAAAAGGCAGATAATGGTAAAAATCAACGTTTAAAATGCATATTTTCAAACAATGAAAATCTTGGCATTTTAAGGTTGTATCAGCATGCTTCCCTTTGTTGTTTCCTCTGTTGTTGCTGGGGAGCATGCGCTGTCCTGAGCTGGCTTGATTTGGTTTCCGTAGCAAGCTTTTTTCGGCAAAGCTATTTTTCTCAGCCTAACGCAAGCAGTGTGATTCCCATAGTTTGATATTACACTTTTGATATCAAAGTATTTCTGAACTGTAATCATCTTGTCTTTTGACTTTCTATCTCCAATTACTTTCTCGGATTTCTCATTAAACCATCAGACTTTTGCTATCTGTGAGCTCTGTCTTCATCCTGGATGGTTTGTAGGCCGGCGTGAGCCTGAAGAACATAGACACATTAGAGGATGTTGACCACTGCATCATCTTCTACAACTATGCCACCATTCTACACAATCTCCGGCAGTACAGGGCAGCGATCACCGTCTTGGAAAAGGTCTTTCACTTCCTTGAGCCATTGGGTGAGTAGATTAACTATTCTGCTGGCCAGTCTATTGTATGCTTGTGTCTCGTTTTTCATCGTACTATCTTGAGTTTTTTTTAATTAGTTTACAATCGACCTTTTTAAAAATAACTATATCAATTATATGTATGGTATAATTCACGTGTTTTTACCATGAGATTACAAGCCCTTCCCATAACAAATACCACGTAGATATATACCATATTTCTTTTTTCATATTTCTTTGTCGAGTATACCTACAGTAGATGTGGGAGATGTTTCTGAGAAACAGGATAAGTATTAGAAGTTCTTGTTTTAAACAGCGCATTACTGATCGGTAATTTCGCAGCATCATAAATCTGCTTCGTATCTAACGACATTCCTATTCTCAAAGTGTTTTCATATATTTTGGTGTAGGTGTCACCACATTTGCACACTAACCGACATTTTGACGTCGTCACTTGAGGTATTGTTGATACATATATATCCCTTACTTGCAGATGAGAAGTTGAAAAGGAAAGTATGCTTCCTGCTCATTGAGCTCTACTTGTGCACCCACCAGCCGGGAAAGGCCCTCAATATGATCGCCTTCACGGAGAAGATGCTGTTTGACAGCAAGATGGAGAAGGAGAGCAGAGAAGAGCGGCCGCTGTCCAGCGCAACAGCGAACGAGATCCACAAGCCACGAATCCAACAGGTTTGCTTCGTCTGCACACGCTTGATGATAAATTTAAGTATAAACTGCATGAACATTCAAACATGCACGCACGCACACACACACGTTCACGAGACGCACATGCAGATATTCACACACACATGCACACACTACGCACGCACGCACGCACGCACATGCAGAAACCACACACACATAGACACGCACACACACACGTTCACGAGACGCACATGCAGATATTCACACACACATGCACACACTCACGCACGCACGCACAAGCAGAAACCACACACACAGACACGCACGCACGCACGCACATCCGCTTCACATTTAGACCTTTATGGTATCAGATCAGCCGATGTGATTCGTGTGACGTGTCTCTCTTTCCGTCGTTACAGTACAAGGTGCGCTGTTACCTACAACTAAAGTCTGTGAAGGCGTGCAAGAAGGAGCTGAAAACACTCACGAACATGACGCAGGCCGTAAGTCACTTAATGTTTGACTTCATGTTTGGCACTTTATGTTCGACTAACGGGCCTTCACAATTTTTTCGTGTGTGGTGGCACCACCGAGGGTCACTTTATGTTTGGCTTCATTTTCAGAACTTTATGTTCGAATAACGGGCCTTGACAATTTTTTTGGTGTGTAGTGGCACTACCGAGGGTCAATTTATGTTTGGCTTCATGCTTTGAACTTTATGTTCGACTAACGGGCCTTCACAATTTTATTGGTGTGTGGTGGCACCACCGGGGGTCACTTTTTATCTCGGTACGACGGCCATTTTATATAAACGTCAAGTGACGATGATTGTGACTGCCGCCTCTCGTTTCTCGCGACGCAGAGCAACGGACCGGAGATGTACCTGTTTGGTGGGCCGACCGACTCGACCGTGTACCTGAAGGCGCAGTTCGAGTACATGAAGCACAACCACCGCAACGCGATGAAGATCCTGAGCGGTGCGCCGGGTACGTCGCCGTCGTTCCTCGACGGCGGGCAGTGCGTGCCGGCGATGTACTACAGCAACCTCGGCTGCATCCACTTCCACATGCACAAGCACAACCTCGGCCTCTTCTACTTCCAGAAGTCGCTCGAGGAGATGGACGCGAGCATCCGCACGATCCCGCAGCGAGAGACCGGTGAGTGAGGGAGGGAGACCGGTGAGTGAGGGAGAGAGACCGGTGAGTGAGGGAGGAGGGGGAAGGGGGAGGAGAGAGAGGAGATGGACGCGAGCATCCGCACGATCCCGCAGCGAGAGACCGGTGAGTGAGGGAGGGAGGAAGGGGAGGGGAGGGAGGAGAGAGAGGAGATGGACGCGAGCATCCGCACGATCCCGCAGCGAGAGACCGGTGAGTGAGGGAGGGAGGAAGGGGAGGGGAGGGAGGAGAGAGAGGAGATGGACGCGAGCATCCGCACGATCCCGCAGCGAGAGACCGGTGAGGGAGGGAGGGAGGAAGGGGAGGGGAGGGAGGAGAGAGAGGAGATGGACGCGAGCATCCGCACGATCCCGCAGCGAGAGACCGGTGAGGGAGGGAGGGAGGAAGGGGAGGGGAGGGAGGAGAGAGAGGAGATGGACGCGAGCATCCGCACGATCCCGCAGCGAGAGACCGGTGAGGGAGGGAGGGAGGAAGGGGAGGGGAGGGAGGAGAGAGAGGAGATGGACGCGAGCATCCGCACGATCCCGCAGCGAGAGACCGGTGAGGGAG